AGTTTGATACAATCCCCAGTCCTAGCAATAGCCGATCAGGACAGGCCATTTCATGTGGTCTGTGATGCCAGCGATTTCGCAATCGGCTGTGCATTAATGCAGCACGATCTTGAAGGCGTTGACCGCGTCGTCTGCTATCAGTCGCGTCAGCTGCAACCAGCTGAGCGGAACTATCCAGTGCATGACAAGGAACTCCTTGCCATGAAGTATGCACTCGCGAAGTTCAGAGTCTATCTATTAGGAGATAGACCCTTCGTTGTTTACACTGACCATGCGTCATTACGCACGGCAGTGAACAGCCCGCACCTTTCACAACGAATGGCGCGGTGGTTGTCATTCTTTGCAGAATACAACTTTACGGTTGAGTACAAACCAGGACGACTTAATGTCGTCGCTGATGCACTCTCACGTCGTCCCGACTTTGAAACAGTCGCGAAACCCAACAGTGAGACAGTCACTGTTGCGGTTATGACGTCCTCAGTCCCATCTACAACGTTGTATGATGATGTGAGGCGGGCATACGCCCAAGATGGTGAGATAGTGAAGTTGTTGACACATCTCTCCCAACCATCTCGAGAATCGTTGAAACGATTGTCGTCTGCGTATCGATCTGCATCAGATCGATACACTGCTCGTAACGGTTTACTGTATTATACAGCCGTTTCTGGTGACACACCACGTGTTGTCATTCCAGATGATACTGATCTGCGTTTGCGGATCATGTTCGAGTATCACGATGCTCCTATAGGACATCGTGGCCGAGAGAAAACATATCTCACGGTAAGTCGAGACTTTTACTGGCCCCGCCAGTATCAGTTTGTGCGAAAGTATGTTCGCGCATGCGAAGTCTGTCAACGAGTGAAGTCAAGTCCTTCACTGCGTGCACCTTTACAGCCTCTACCGGTTCCGGCTGAGTGCTGGGAATCCATCTCGATGGATTTCGTCTTCGGGTTACCCGAAGACGCACGCGGGAATACTGGTATTCTCGTATTTGTTGACAGATTCAGAAAAATTGTACACCTTGTGGCTGTACCAGAGACAATCACAGCAAGTGGCTGTGCTAGTGTCTTTATTGACACCATCTTCCAACTTCATGGGTTGCCCCGTGAACTCGTATCAGACAGAGATCCACGATTCACTGCTGATTTCTCGCGTTCTGTGTTCAAATCACTCGGAACGCGCTTGAAGATGTCGACATCTGATTATCCAGAGTCAGATAGTCATACGGAACGAGCCAATCGTGTCCTCGAAGAGATACTTCGAGGATACGTACACCCCTTTAAGGGTTGGAGTGAGTTCTTGCCACTGGTAGAGTTTGCCATTAACAACTCCGTGCATGCGTCCACGACACATACACCGTTTTACGTGAATGGCTTGCGCAATCCTCGTGTACCCACCTTACTAGAGTGTAACTCTTGTTTAAGGGGGGAGGGACTCGCGCGAGCAAAAACCGAATTGGTTCACGCTCATCACGCTCTGACGAAGAGGTCATTGCGTTTGATGCCAATATCGATAACATCGATATCGAAGAAGATGATGCCAGTGAGAGCGCGGAAGCCCTCACTGAAGGAGATGATGCCAGTGAGAGTGCGGAAGCCCTTACTGAAGAAAAGATTGATGTTGCTGCAGTGCGCTCACAGCGCACTGAAGCTAACGAGAACAGATGAGTTCATACTGGCTCGTGAAACGGTAGTCCGTTTTGTGCAAGACTCCATCGCCGAAGCGGTGGATAAGCAAAAGCAAAACGCTGACAAGAATGGAAGGGCAAACACTCTTTTATTTAATAAAGGTGACTTAGTCCTACTGTCTACGGTTAATCTACCAAAGCATGTAGTGACTAACTTGGGTAGCAGTAAACTACTACCCAAGTACATTGGCCCATTTCGTGTATTGCACCGCCTAGGCAATGCATACACGATCGAGTTACCACGTAAGATGCGAACGCATCCCACTTTTTACGTTGGTCGGCTTAAGCCGTACCATCAGTACTCTGCTTCTTCCGATGAAGAACGCCCTTGCGCTCAAGCATCTCGCAGAGAGCCTTGTGCTCCCGATGGTGGGCATCAACAAGGGTCTGAAGAGCAGCTATCTCATCCCGAGACCGATCAGCAATCCCACGAGCTACCCTTAGCTCGTCACGAAGAGATGTCAGAGATCTCTCGTTCTCAAGCTGAGCAAAGGCAAACTCAGCTCGATGCTTCGAGGCAGTGTCCGCCATTTGGAGACGCCTATTCCGCTCATGCTCGAGATCGTCGCGTAACCCTTGCGTTACGCGATCAAAGAAGCTCTCGGGAACACACCGATCCACATGATCGTGTGGAGATCGTCTTTCCTCCTCCTCCACCTCCATTAGAGGACTCTCGCGGTGGCCAGCGCTATCTAGTTGAGCAGCTGTTGAACCACCGCGACGTGAACGGACGTCGGACAAGTTATCTCGTCCGGTGGCGCGGCTATCCCCCGTCCTGGGATTCTTGGGAGCCCCGCTCCCAACTGATGATCGACGTACTGGGTCTGGTTGAGCAGTACGACGCGGCACATCCTGTGCCGCAGAAGGACCGCCGGAGAAAGTCTTCCCGGCACGGTCGTAAAGGGATTTCAGGTTGTCAATCCCTTCGTACAACTCAGTAGAGACACGTACGCGCCACCACGGGCTATTAGGGAGGTAAGCCTCCTTAGGTGCTCGTGCAGAGTTGCTCACACAACATGGGCACGAGTCTCCCCAAGAGAGGCAGGGTAATCCTTTCTCCCTTGACAGACGATGCAGCTTGTAGCGTGCACCTGTTGGGGTTCGCTTTTCAAACTTATCACGAGCTTTGATAAGTTTGTCGTTCCAAGCGTCACGACCTACATCCTCGAGGTTATGGATGTAGGCGTTCCACGCCTGAAGTAGTGAGGGACTATCACGTTTGTGATTCCCACTGTACCATCGATGCCTAAAGAAAGCATCGATGAAGAATTCATGTTCAGCGCGATAGTCTTTCGCGCTGGGGTCAAGGTGATGGATCCTTGACGAATCGAACAACCGTGTTCGATAACGATCACTCGTCGTCGCCGACAAGTGATCCATGACGGATTTTGGAGGCATCCATGCCTTCTTCTCAGGAGCGAGACGCAAGACATTGCGATCCCGCTCTTCCTGCGACGTGCCGACAGAAGTACTGGCACCTCGCTGTGAAGTGGTGTCCATAGGAGAACCGACACCACTATTAGCGCCCGAGTCTCGCGACCTCGAGCGCCTTCGCTTCGGCGATGGTTCATCTGATTCATCAGATGAACCAAAGATGCTGCGACGCAAAGCATCATCCATGCCACGCTTGGCAGGCGGCTTAGATTCAATCGCCGTCGATACGGATCCATTATCCGTATCAGGAGAGTACGAGACACCGAGCTCGTACTCTGTGAAGACACGAGTGTCTTCATGACCAGCGCCTGCATCACCAAGTGACACAGGCTGGGTCGCTTCAGCAACCGATGGGACATCAGTTGCTGTTGTTTCTGCTTCGGCGTCCGCACAGAGACGTGCAGACGCGCTCTCGGCGGCCTTGCTCGCGCATCGCATGGGCTTGTTAACCATGCGATGGAATGTTGGAAAGTGGACGCGGACCAACAAGTGCAAACCCCGTCCCAAATGATTTGGGACGAGTATCCATTTAGTCAATCAGTCACTAAAGTGACTGATGGTTAAGGGGGGGTGATGTAACGGGGTGAATCGTTACATAACAATTTATAAGAAATTGTTAATAGAATATAACTATAAGAGTTATATTCTCAGAATATTGTTATAAGGACAAATATTCTGTAGCACTTACGACTAGTTCCTAATTGGTTGATGTAGGCCATTGTATCAACCAACGAAGACGCGCCACGACAGACGCACGCAATGAGTGGTGAGCAGATAACTGATTTACACATTTGTATTTAGACATAGTTAGATGAAGATAAATAGTGATTTATTGCAGACATTAACTATTATAAATACAGTTCTACTTTTTACTTTAACCAAGTACTCGCTTCTTCTTACCGTCTTCCTCTGCACGTACGAGTGTACGTGAAGTTACGAGGCACCGCCTTATTCTGTCATCAAAATAAGTAGCTTGTACTGTCACCAGTACAAGCTTCAGGGTGCCCCGTTACAAGTGTAGTTGGTGCCGTCGTCTCCAAGAAAGTCAACAACTAGTGTCCTTTGTCCTTTGAAGTAGGCTGTCTTACAGCTCGATTAGTAGCCCATAGGCTTGGTACACATTACAACATGGCGAGCTCTAGCTGCGAGACGCTACTTGCTACTACAGTAACCAGTGAGTACGATGCCGCTCATGCGCTTGCTTGAACTTATACTGACTAGAGCGACCATTCTGCCTTCAAACCACGTAAATAATGCCCACGGTACCTCCTGGGCCCCAAGGTCGTGGAGTCACTCACGAATATAATACTAATTCCTGCACGCGCTGCTATCCCTTTCTTCACGATCCGCTGCGTCAGGTGACGCTGCTGACTCCGATCGTTGCCATCACTACGAGCTCACCTCAGAGAAGAATGTTCGTGAATCAAGCATCGATAGACGAGATCCAGTGTTGTCTTGGGCGTGCAAGAACAATAAAGATGCGACCTCTCTCTGTTGATATTGATGTGCGCAGGCGAAGGCAAATTGTGAAGTGAATATATTTATGGTCCTTAGTTCGCAAACTTGCTTCGCTACCTCTAAGCCACTCATTTCCTATACTTAGACAAACTATATCAGTCCCACTGATTTAGCTAGACCAATGAACACCCTTCGATCTTCTCAAGATCTTCTAGAAGGTTCACTGGTTTATCTAGACCAATCAACACCCTTCGATCTTCTCAAGATCTTCCAGAAGGTTTAAGAAGCTCTCCTTGTGACGTCACCCGATGACGTCATGCTGTGCTTCTTCTCAGCCAGTCCTTCTCGATTCTTCCAAACCTATCCATGAACATAAAAGCAGTAGACGGTGCTATGTTAACACTCTCACTCACCGCTATTGCTAAATGCCCTTGGGTCCAATGCAGCTTGCTTGTATCAAATAGTTCAGTCGCTTGGTCCCCAGAGCCTTCGTTAGCATGTCGGCCAATTGGTCCATAATGGAGATGTACTTGACCATGATGATATCGTGGGCCACATTCTCCCGGATGAAGTGGTGACGAATGTCAACGTGCTTAGTTCTGACATTGTAGCTGGCATTGCTGGCAAGCCCAATTGCTCCTTGATTGTCTTCCCAGACCCACGTTGCTCCCACTTGCTCGTGACCTAGATCCTTAAGCAGCGCACGAACCCATAACACTTCCTGTGTACACAGGCTTAAAGCCATGTACTCTGCCTCAGCAGAGCTTAGAGCCACCGTGCGTTGATACTTGGACTTGTATATGGCTGGTGCGCCACCGATGATCACCATTATCCCTGACACGGAGCGTCGATCATCGATGTTGCTACCCCAGTCCGCGTCCGTATACGCTGTAGCTGTTACTTTGCTAGCGCTGCCGTCGTAGATTATCCCGTAGTCTCTTGTCGTCTTGAGATACCGAAGAACACGAATGGCTGCCTTCCAATGTTGCTGACCTGGATTCTCCAAAAACCTTGATAACTGCGTGATGACATACATCACATCTGGGCGCGTACATGTCGTGATGTATAGCAAACATCCGATCAGTGACCTGTACGGCTTTGACTGCATTTCTGCTCTATCGACATCCGTCGTTGGGGATTGTTTCTTTGACAGCTTCAGGCCGGACTCGCATGGGTTGACCACTGTCTTTGCGTCCTCTTGATTAAAACGGCTGGCCACATCATCGATGTATCGAGTCTGTCGAATCATCAGCTTACTGCAGTTGTGGTCATGATCAATCTCCACGCCAAGAATAAATTTAGCCTTGCCTAGCTCCTTCATACGAAATGAGCTCTTGAGTGCTGTCTTGACCTCTTGAATCTCCCTGCTGGTCTTGGCGGCGATGATCATGTCGTCGACGTAGAGACAAACATAGACATAGTTGTCATCTTGATGCTTGACGTAGATACACTGATCTGCTCCGCTGCTACGAAATCCGATCTGTAAGAATTTAGCATGGATTGTCTTGTTCCACGCACTTGCAGCCTGCTTGAGACCGTAGATTGCCTTGTCCAACTTGCACATCATCTTCTCCGCATTAGCTATGCCATTTGGCACTTCCATGTACACCTCTTCCTTGAGATCACTGTTCAAGAACGCCGTGTCTACGTCCAGCTGCTCAGTGACGTATCCCTTTGTCACCACCACAGCTAGCACAACCCTGATCGAGTTCATGTTTGCCACGGGAGATTACGTCTCGAAGAAGTCGACACCGAATTTCTGCTTGAACCCCTTTGCGACGAGTCGAGCTTTGTAGCGCACCACTTGTCCGTGTTCGTTTCGCTTCTTAGCGAATATCCATCTGCACCCGATTGGTCGAATGTCTTGCCGTTTTGGTACAGTGTCCAGGACCCGTTATCGGCGTGCGCCTTGAGCTCCGCTTGCATCGCTTGAATCCACTTGCTGTTGTCTTCGCCTTTTAACGCTTGGCTGTATGTTGATGGAGCGTCGTCCGCCTCGCCAACGCTTGCAGCATAGGCTAATACAGCCTCTGTAATGAGACCTTCGTCATCAATTCTTGCTTGCTTTGGAGAAGGTGGTCCATCGCTACCTTCTGACGTGTCTTCACTGCTATTCCCATTCTCAAGCAGCAGCATTCTGTCTCGTGAGCGTCTTGTCCGATTTATCTCCGGCTGAAATACCAACCTGTCCTCCTGAAAAGCTTGTCTCGGAGCTTGATATCCCGTTATCTCATCGCCTCTTGGTTCTTGAGTTTCTGGATCGAGTACTTGAGGTATGATGATACCTATTTCGAATGGAGCCGATTCTATCTCGTCCATCTCGACATCAGGAGCGCTTTCTTCGACATCTTCCATCGTCTCGTCTCCATCATACGGACGAATCACCGGAATCACTGCTTCATCAGTGTCCCTAATATAATTGACGACTGGTACTTTATCTGGTACCACCGTGTCGTATATGCCTTCAACTTCCCGCTCGTCCAGCTTTACGGAGCGCGATATGACAACCTTCGACCTTTCCAGATTGAACACCCTGTATCCCTTGGTGTTCTCCGCATATCCGAGGAACATACACCGGTAACTCTTTGGTTCGAGCTTCGTCCTCTTGGCGTCGTCAATGTGAGCATACCCTTGCGATCCAAACACACGCAAATGCTCAATACTCGGCTTCATCTTGAAACCAACCTCGAACGGTGTTACGTCCGAATTTGCAGAGTTTGTGGATCTGTTGATCAAGTACACAGCCGTACTGACCGCCTCTGCCCACCACTGCATGTCGATACCCTTGTAGTACAGCATGCTCCTTGCCTTCTCCATGATAGTGCGATTCATGCGTTCCGCAACGCCGTTCTGTTGCGGACTATATGGTACTGTCCGCTGGTGCATGATACCATTACGGGCGCATATATGGGCAATCTTCTTGTTGACAAACTCCGTCCCGTTATCCGACCGTATACACTTCAAGTGCTTGCCCCATTGATTCTCATAGAAAGCCTTGAACTCGCTAAGCCTTGCGGCCACCTCGCTCTTGTGCTTCATGAAGTACGCTGCCACAAATCTTGAGTAGTCGTCTACAAATGTCAATACGAGTCGTGCACCACCCTTTGAGACCGTCTTCATCGGTCCCATCACGTCCGTGTGTACTAGTTCCAACACACGTGACGTCCTTGTTAGCGATTGAGACGGGAATGTATCGATCGTCAGCTTGCCCTTCATGCATCCACTGCACAGCTTCTCGATGCCCTGCTTTACCTCCGGCATACCACTCGTAGCGCGCTGTGTCTTGTCCATACCAGATCTTCCGGGGTATCCCAAGCAAGCGTGCCAAAGCTCCCACTCACTTTCAGCCCCTGCGTATTCTACAAGCCGGGCTTCTTCTTGTTCGCAATCCAGGAAGTACGCCTTGCCAATCTTCTTGCCGCTTGCAATCGCGTGCTTGGCACTCCAAATGATGCAGGACGAGCTTTGAAACTCCACCCTCATGCCTCGTCCTGCCAGTTTGCCAACGGACAGCAATCGTTTGTCAAGTCCTGGTATGTGCATGACATCGACCATCATGATCCGTCGACCGTCTAGACCTTTCAGCTTGACTGTTCCCACTCCAGCTACCTGCAGCTTCTTGCCATCAGCGATAGAGACTTGTTGACCAGTCTTCAACTCCTTGTACTCAAATAGATCGCTCCGATGTGGTGTCATGTGCGACGTAGCCCCGCTGTCGATAAGCCATTCTTCGCATTGCAACTCACCAGCAGCAAACACAGCACCTTTTTCCTCGCCATTGCTACGCTTCAGGCAGTCCCGCTTATAGTGTCCGACTAGACCACACTTAAAGCACTTGCCTTTAATTCCGGTGTTGGTTTTCCGTAGATAGTTTCCCTTGCGGCCGTTACCTTGGCCTCCCTTGAACCGTCTACCGTTGCTGCTTACAGGAAACGCCTTCTCCGTAGTCTCCTTCCTCTGCAATCGTTCATGCTCCTTGAGCAGCTTTTCCTTGACCTCGATGAGCGTAATGTCCTTGGAATTATCTACAATTGACGAGATGAGCTCATAGTCCGTCGGAAGACTACTAAGCAGCACCACTAGCTGCCGAGAGTCATCGACTGACTCTCCAAGTGTCTGGGGCCGACAACAAGCTCGTCAAAAGCATCCAAGTGCTTCGACAAGGTCGAACCATTCTCCATCTTGAACTCATGCAGACGACGTGTCATCTAGACACGATTGTGGAGCGTGGTGCGGCTGTAGAAGTCCCGCAAGATGACCCACGCGTGCATAGCTGTCGTCGCCAATCGTATCTTGGTCTGGTGCTGTAGCTCTATGCCTTGAGCGATGATACCCAGTGCCTTAGCGTCGTTGAACAGCCAGGCATCCGTCATCTCTTCTTCTTTCTTGATGACTTGAACGTGCACCAGCAGCCCCTTGCGCGCCAACGTCATGCGCATGTTATACTCCCAGTGGAAGTAGTTTCCACTACCCAGGAGGACTTCACACCGCTTGTTTGTCATGGTGGACGTGGTGGCTTGGCGGTTTGGAGCGCGTTGCGGCTGTTAACCTGTTGATATTGATGTGTGCAGGCGAAGGCAAATTGTGAAGTGAATATATTTATGGTCCTTAGTTCGCAAACTTGCTTCGCTACCTCTAAGCCACTCATTTCTTATACTTAGACAAACTATATCAGTCCCACTGATTTAGCTAGACCAATGAACACCCTTCGATCTTCTCAAGATCTTCTAGAAGGTTCACTGGTTTATCTAGACCAATCAACACCCTTCGATCTTCTCAAGATCTTCCAGAAGGTTTAAGAAGCTCTCCTTGTGACGTCACCCGATGACGTCATGCTGTGCTTCTTCTCAGCCAGTCCTTCTCGATTCTTCCAAACCTATCCATGAACATAAAAGCAGTAGACGGTGCTATGTTAACACTCTCTCACCTTGCAGCCTCGACAATTAGTGGCGATCGATATACGCAACCGAGTGTTCCTGGCCACTATTTCGGCATCCCTGCAATTTGGTCAGGTGGCTGCGGCAAAGCTTCAGATTCCGTTGGCTGTGTGGCGTGAACCCACGGTCGAGCTTCGTAGGCTTCTTTTCAACTCTCCGCGACATAAGTTTGCGCTGCCAGTTTGAGTAACTTGATTCTTCTCTTGATTCTAGCACGTAACTAGTTTCGGCATGTTGAAGCCGCTTAGCAAGGTACAGGATGTATTTGGGAGACCCGAAGAACTGGTACGTTACAGCCATGTGGACATTCAACGTCCAAGCACGACTAATGTTTTGGGAGAGTGCTTGGATTCCGCAGAGATGAACCCTTGCACTTGAGCCAGGTAATCTTCCTTGTTACATAAGAGAACGCTGCTTAATTACGCTCGGTATTCGTTTACCCGACCTGGTGGGTGCTGCGCTAGACAGAGCTACTTCAAACTTCTTACCACGGAAATTCTGCTTCCGTCGTTTTTCTGAGCTGTCTACCGGAGTGACCACACCTTTCTAGTGCGAACTACAGCAAATATAGAAAAGTATTGCATTGAGTGTTCAATACGCGCTATTGAAACAATAAATTTTCTTAACAGCGAGGTGGCCATCGCTGCAAAGGAGTCCGGGTCTCTTGTTGCAAAATTCATCGTAAAAAGCTGCCCTTGCGTTGGCTTTGACGTCTGGCTCCATTGATATCAGCAGTATCACCCCTTTTTCCACTATCGTCGCGTCACTTGCACGAGTTCGTTTCACAACCGCAGCATGCACTCCACAATCATGTCGCTCCTGGGGATCCGAAGACCTATAAGTTTTGCATACACATCCTAAAGCGAATTGGCTTATCACAAATTTGTGCTTGGCTCATACGAACGAAGAATTCTAGCTTGCTGCTTTCATGGCAAAGGAGGAACGTGAGTAGCGGTCGCGGATGCTCTCCCAAGACAGCTTGAACTTTTATGGTTGAGGGCCCCTCAAGAACATTAACAGTCGTTTTGTCCACTTGCTCTTTCTTACTACAATTTAAATGTAGTTTTCTTTGTAAGCGATAGCGGACCATCGGTATTGTAAACCTCTGTAGCAAACGAAACGTACTGCGTAAACACTCATGGAAGCTGGCAGAAACTTGTCCACGGTACCCCGAAACGCGCGGCAGATCGAGAATGCAATGATGGTGTAAGTGCCTTGGATACGTAGTCCTAAGCTAAGGTACCTTTTGTATTAGTCGTGAGTACTCTGAGATGTCAATAGTGTCACTGTCTGAAACAGGCCACAACCGCTGATACGACGAGGTGCAGTACGTGCACGCCAACCCATGATTCAGAGCTTGCTTATGTGCTCACAAAAACTGTTGTGAGTTGTTCGTTGCGTATTAATGAATTGTCACAAGAATCCAAACCAAGCACTCTCCCAAAACATTAGTCGTGCTTGGACGTTGAATGTCCACATGGCTGTAACGTACCAGTTCTTCGGGTCTCCCAAATACATCCTGTACCTTGCTAAGCGGCTTCAACATGCCGAAACTAGTTACGTGCTAGAATCAAGAGAAGAATCAAGTTACTCAAACTGGCAGCGCAAACTTATGTCGCGGAGAGTTGAAAAGAAGCCTACGAAGCTCGACCGTGGGTTCACGCCACACAGCCAACGGAATCTGAAGCTTTGCCGCAGCCACCTGACCAAATTGCAGGGATGCCGAAATAGTGGCCAGGAACACTTGGTTGCGTATATCGATCGCCACTAATTGTCGAGGCTGCAAGGTGAGAGAGAGGTCGCATCTTTATTGTTCTTGCACGCCCAAGACAACACTGGATCTCGTCTATCGATGCTTGATTCACGAACATTCTTCTCTGAGGTGAGCTCGTAGTGATGGCAACGATCGGAGTCAGCAGCGTCACCTGACGCAGCGGATCGTGAAGAAAGGGATAGCAGCGCGTGCAGGAATTAGTATTATATTCGTGAGTGACTCCACGACCTTGGGGCCCAGGAGGTACCGTGGGCATTATTTACGTGGTTTGAAGGCAGAATGGTCGCTCTAGTCAGAATAAGTTCAAGCAAGCGCATGAGCGGCATCGTACTCACTGGTTACTGTAGTAGCAAGTAGCGTCTCGCAGCAAGAGCTCGCCATGTTGTAATGTGTACCAAGCCTATGGGCTACTAATCGAGCTGTAAGACAGCCTACTTCAAAGGACAAAGGACACTAGTTGTTGACTTTCTTGGCGACGACGGCACCAACTACACTTACGCAACCACAAACACGCGGCACTCGAGTATGTGCAAGGGGTGATACATTGTCTCAAGAAAACGAGGGTGATCCCGCCATTTCTTGGGTGTATCGAGCGGCCTTGAGACTCATGTCTTGACCGCTCTCCAGAGCAATAGATATCTGGTACCTCCCTTAACCACGTCAGCCGTCTTACAATTGTTTTGGAGAGAGGCTCAGACTGTCTATTACAGCTACTTATCACTAATAAGAAGTCTGGTTGTGTGGTAACCACCGCATGTCAACTGCCATGACTCAGTCTTACTTCACAATTGTGTTGGTAAATCTAGATTTTTAAGATGAAGTCTTCATTCCAGACGCTGTTTCTTGAGGGTAGGAGGGATCGACTTTAGAGGCAGCGTACGTAGACCAACAAAAATTATCCTGTCTCACGTATATGGCCTACCGATATGACCTTGCTCCACGATTCATAGCCCACCTTCTGACAAGGCAGCACAGCTGTGAAGACGTCCGGAATTATTTGAGCCATGACTCGCGTCGTCTGGATCATGCCGGACGTCACGAACGACAAGGAGACAGAAAGATCGATACAAATCGCGATATGCACAATGCTCTCCCCAATAATCATACATCCACTTCCATAGGCTGCAGCGACCAGTCTGATCTCAACGAAATTACCCAGCCATTCTGGACACAGTCCCGTTATCTTGAAACCTCGTAGACACGCGCGACAGCGACCCGACGCGATTATCGACGAACGTTTGGCAGCCAACGGGCTCCATCCGTCCAGTTCCAAGCTCGCGGTTTCCACGTTGCCACCATAATCAGCCCTCATCGATTCGTGCCCTAGAACGCTGCGACGTGGTCGGGCCATCCATTTCCTAGTCTTGGCTCCCATCGGTTTCGAATGCCTTGACGTTTGGCGTTCATGTGCTCATATCTGTACCATCGGAGGTGGAGACGTCCGTGACGCTGCACTATAACGTCGATCGTGGAGTCACTACGGTTGCTGCACGAACTCGGGGGATGCAGCGACAACGCCTACGCTTCGTTTCGTTTTTACTACATCCGAAGCAGGGACTTGCTCGGGCATTATCGAGCATGTGGGATAAGAGCGTGCGCGCTCGAAATGTCCAGATGGGTTGGCATCCCTCCGCACACTTCGTATCATGGTCGAGCTCGCTAGCCAGTGTCATCGGGTCTGCAGGTGTCGAGAAGCGAGTGAGCCGCGTCTACATGCAGAGGCCACTCACACACACGCGCGATCGACTTCTGAGTCTTCCACGAAGGTGATGTCAATGCTTAGTAGCGCTAGGAAGTCATGTGACAAGTGATGGCAAATTGATATGAATAGAGCATCTGAACGACCGCGTGATCTCAACTACCGCATACTCTTGTTCATGCGCGCTCCTTACATTCACTATAGTAACGTATATCGATCGGAGCCTTTGCGTCCAGAACTAGGACGCAAGTTCACATTACTATTCCTCGATCAAGGTCAGGACAGTGTCGGGCTTCATTGCTTGTTGAAAGTTCCTGCGAGGGAGTAACGGAAAACGGCTGGTCAAAGCCTAATGATGCGACAAAGTGCCGCGTGGCGCCGTCAGTCTCGATGTCTTTTGAACGAGCGCATGAAAAGAACGAACACACGGATTGCGTCCTGTGCTTCCAATCGTAGATAAAGACACGTAGGACTTTGGCTGGCTGATCGCCAGCCTGATCGCCAGCCTGGCTCCTGCATCTGGCGAAGTGGGTAAGCTTTGAAACCGGCTTGTCCGCTATCATGTGCAGCCAATCCGATGGCAGCAGTAGATTTTTCTGGAAGAAGAATCGTCATGCGCGTAGAGGACAGAACCAGTTCTGACATCGGGGAAAGACTGGCTTGCCATATTGTAGGAGCGAAACGGTGCAACGAGCGATGCGCAGCTGCGTATGCCTCTTCGGTGGCCAGCCCAGTGTGGCGGCCGACGATGTCCGGTGTGAAAAATCAGATGCATCGACATGCAGGCTGGTCGTGGTCTGATTGGAAGTCATTGTCTGCACTGAAGCCATGATCTGCTGGGTATATTCGGTCTGATCGGTGGTCCTAGTTCGGACAGTTGTGGCCGCTAGTCATGGTTTCGAAAACTGTTTGAGTGACCCGAGGTAGTCGACACAAAAATGATACTTTGGAAGGCAGTCATGGAGCTTCGAGGTGAACCAAATGAAAATCAGTGGTGGTTACGAATGAGGCAATTTCAGCTTAACCTGGCTGTCTGCCGAGGCGTGGTGGCTAGCCAGTCAGTAATCATTGTCTGAGGAACAATCCCTGGCG